TTCAATGTCTTTACGTTATTAAGAAAAGAATTGTAGAAATAACCCATAAAAAATAAAAGAATAAATAATAGATATATACATTTGGATTGTATGAATATCAAAAAATAATTATTTCAATTTCTTCATTATATTTTTACTTCTATGTTCTATTTATTTTATATTATGAGATAAGTAGATGATTCTTCTTCAAATATATTATCAGAATTGACAATATAAAACGTTAAATCTTTCATAATTTTGATGACTAATGTTTGCAATATATTATTGGGAAAGTCTAAATGTAATTTGAGTGTTTTTATTCTTCTTATTGAGTTTTTGTGTATTAAATTATTAATGATCTTAGATGAATTATTTTTAATATAATGTTATTTCTCTCTTTTATTTTTAATTTCTTGTATAATTTATTTTCTTTCACCACACATATTATCATTTAATTGAATGATATTCATTCTTTCTTTTATTTCTTTTCTCGTAAGTTAAGATTTGATTTTGTTTTTAATTTGATATTTGTTGTATCTTCATTGTGTTTTATTATGATATTATTTATTTCTATTAAATAATACTGTTCATTTCTATTGAAATTATTGTTAAAGTATTTCTGAAGATGATTGAAGTGAAAAAATAAAATAAATCATTTAATTAATTGTGTAATTGTTATGATGATAATTATGATGAAAATTATGATTGTAACGTTTAATAAAAATGTTAATGTGTCTCTGTATATAAAGATAATATTTCATTCATTCATTCTTTTATTATTTATCGTTGTTTGTTTGTATGAATTTCTGTTTCTTTTTATTTATTTTTATATTTTCTGTGGTTGCTTATAACGTATATTTTTGGAAGAAACAAATAAACAAATAAAGCAATGAATTGAGTATTAATAGAAGTAACTTCTATTGTTAATGACTCAGGGGAGACTAATCACAATGAGTCTTCTTCTTCTAGCAGCTCTACTGAGTATGTTTGGTTGTGATAAAAGCAGTATTCAATGACATTAATCATGTTTTTTATGACAAGGTTTTTTACTTCTTTCTCGATGTCAATTTCAATTTTTAATTCTTTAATTAATTTATTACTTTCTTTATTTATTATTCCATTTATTGAAATTACTACTGGTATTATTCTGACATCTTTTAATTTTTCTATTTTCATTAGCCTATTCTTTAATTCCTTGTACATATTTCTTTTCTTCCATTATTATCCATTAATATTGTGATCAGCCACAATAGTCATATCAAATAATAGACCAGTTTTATTCTTTTTATCTAATACATATATGTCTGGTATTTTGTGGTATTGTCATTCACTTTTATGCATTAATTGTTTGTTCATTATCATAGTAATGTCTTTATATTGGAACATTGTTTCATATAGGGGTTTTTTATATTGAATATTTCCTGTATATTTTCTTATTAATCAATATGATAATGCCAATATTGTCATGTTTTTCCATTTGTGATTTTTTATGACTAATACAAGATAGTAGAATGTGTTCTACTGTAGCTATCTCGTCTTTACACAGTGTTTAGTATTTCATTCTTTCATTTTTCATTATTTTTGTTTTTCTATACTCATAAAATATTGTTCCATCTTGCATTTTAGTTAATTGGAGAAATGCATTCTTTTTAATATTGATGGACTTCAATGCTTTCACTGTAGTAGTTTTATCTACTCATTTTGACTCAAACCATCTTCTAAATTGTCTACTAATTTGATGACACTTCCATTTTTTGATGTATTGGTCGGTCAATAATTTTTTTATTTCCACTACTACTTCTTTTTCTTTTTTCTTTTCTATCCCTTCATTTATTATTTCTTCTATTTTTGTTTCTGGGATTTTATGAATTATTGTTTTTTAATTCTATTCTATATTCCTTTCTTACTGTACCATCTATCTAATATGTTAATTCCAATTTCACTTTCTCTGGTACAGTAGTACATTACTGTTCTAATTAATTCATTAACATATTCAACTATCATACTTACTAATACTTCATTCAATCTTTATTTCTATCGAATTTTACAAATGAATAAAACAAGAGAATAAATTGTATAAGATATAAAAAGTATTATAAATGAAGTATGTTGAATAATTAATAAGATGTTATAAGAATATTAAAGTGATAATTATTATAAATTATGAATTAATATTGATATATAATTGTAAGTATCATATAGTATAATAGAAATGATAAAATGAATGAGAATTAACAAGAATTATAAATATAATAAAACAATAGAAATAAAATACAAAATAACAAATAACAAATAACAAATAATTATATTCTATAATATTGAATATATTCAAAATGTAAATAAATAAGAATAAATTGATTATTGAATAATGAATGAATATAATAGAAATAAAAAGATAATACGTCATTATTGATAAAATAAGTAGAAATAAAGAATTTAAAATCTATATATTCAATCAAATAATATTCATACCATTTATTAAATCATTTGAACAATATGATAAATATTAAAAGTATGAAAATCAAATAATAAGACATAATAAATCAAATAGAATATAATGATGAAAATTGATTAATAAGAAAAGAGATAAATTGAAATAATTACTGATTAGAAATATAAAATGTATTTATCATAAAAACAAAATGAAAAATAATAAAACAAATTCTAAATATTTAAAAATAGATAATATAAAATAAAAGATGCACAATCCAGGAATCGAACCTGGATATCCACCTTGGAAGATGGATTTCTACTACTAAACTCTTTGTGCTTCCCATTATATTTTTTATTTCTTATTATTTCTTTATATTCTTATTTATTTTAATAACAAAAACACAAAAACATTCATAAATGCAAAATATCTTCCAAATTATTATGTTATTGTTAATAATAAATTCTAATTATCAATAATCAACAAATGAAAAAAATAATAAAATATCAATCAAATGAAATGTATTAAATTATTTATTCATTATGTATTTATTTTTATGGTATTTGATTTTCATATTTATTATTCTTGAAATTGAATATCTCTTTATACATTTCTTTTCTTTATATTCTTTATTTCTTTCTTCTTTTTTCTTTAATCACTGATTTAACTTTCTCCTTTTTTCTTTCAAGATACTTCTTATTCTATATTATCTTTTTCTTTCATTTTTATTTACTCTTCTTATTCTCTTCTTTTTACTTCTTATTTTCTTTTCTTTTTCTTTCTTATTATTATATGTTTCTTATTGTTATTGTCTTTATTATTGTACTTTCTTCTTATTTTTCTTATTCATTTTTCGTTTCATCTTTTTTTCAATTCATTTTCATTATATTTCTTTTATCATTCATATTGTTATTCAAATTACTGTTATTGTTATTTATTCTCTTGTATGTTGTTGAATGTTTATTTCTTGTTTTATTTTCTTTACAATACACATTGTTATTATTCAATATCCAATTCAATAACATTTATTATGTCTTATAATGGAAAAGGATTTAATGATAAAATATAAAATAGATGATTAAATATTAATAGAATTGTCATTTATTCATTGAATAATGGACACCAATCACTTCATACATCATTAAATTGAGTAATTTCTTTCTTTTTTATTTATTATACGTTCTTCTTGTTTTGTGAATAAAGCAATTTATTCTCTTTTATATTATTGTCTTTTTGTTCTTCCTCTGTTTATTTCTTCTTTGATTTTTATTTTTATTTTAAATAACATATATTTATTTATTTTCTTATTTTATGATTAATGAACATATAATTATCACTATATAGCTATGTATATTTTTTCCTTTAGTTTTAACAACATCAAATAAATCTTTTCATTTAATAATATTCATTTATAATACATTATTTCAATATTTGAAAAAGTAATTAATACATTTTCTCTCAAAAGACAACACCAAAATTATATAATAAATGATGAATCGATACTTTATTTATATTAATGCTTGTGATTTGTCTCAAACATGTAACATTAGAATTTAATATAACAAATCAATGAATAACAATAAAAGTATAGAAATAAAATAAGTAAATCAATAATAACAATGTGATAAAAAGAAATAAGAAATAGTATTAAATCAACAATATAATGATATAAATGATGATTTTTTAAATTTCATTTCAATGATTAAATAAAAATATGAAACATAATTAAATCAATGAAAAGAATGAAAAGAGAAATACAAACAATAAAAATAAAGAATGAATAATTCTAAATATAAATAAACAATATCTAATAAAATTTATAAATACACAATACCATAAGCAATATTTCAACTCTTAATAATCAATTAAATTTTATAATAATTCTGGTGTTGAACAATAATAGAACCGCTTATTCATTTCATTATTAAAAATAAATAATATATAAAATAATAATTAAATTAATTCTTGTTTAAGATGGTTTGAATTATTTACATTAAAAGATATTTTAATTAAAGTTATTCTTCATAATTCATAATTTTATTTTTCATATTAATAATTTCATCAATAAGATAGAAATATAATTCAAAAGATGATTTTTACATATATTCATCATTTATTTCAATATACTGTTTTAAAAGAACAATAAACATTATTATTAATATTTTCATAATAAATGTATTTAATTGTTATTTTATCATAAATTATTGAAACGATAAGTTTATTGTTCTATTAAATAATTTATACATAATAAAAAATGATAATCATTTTGAATATGAAAATAAATAGATAATAATATTTAAATAGTGTTTAAATTGAAATAATCATTAACACTAATTAAATCATTTGAATTGAAATATTTGTAACCAAAATATATAATCGAATTATTCATAATATTTAATTAAAAATATACTAAATAAATATTGTTTGAATAATACCATTAATATTCATATGAAATATAAATATAATGAAGCATTAGAAGAATTGAAAATAAAGAATTGAAGAAACAATTTTATACATTCATATTCCAACAAGAAAATATCAATTATAAAATATCAATGAATTAAGAAAATTAATACAAACAATAACATAAAGAAAAGAAGAAAAAAAATAATAACATTATTTAAAGTGAATAAATCAAAAAATGATAATAATAATTATTTTATGTTTGTTTATAATTTCTTTGTTTATAATTATTATTTCTCAATTACTTTATTTTTATTAAAGTGTTTAATGAAATTTATATTGAAGTGATTTAATATTATATTTAATAAAATCAAGAATAAAATAATTATTATGATAATAGTGTTGATATAATAATTTGATGATATTTTATATATTTTTGTTGTTAAGAAAAATATTCTCATTATTTCATTATTTTTTATTAATTTCTTGATTAAAGTAATGAAATTATTCTTTTATTACTATTTGTCCTATTTATAATCTCTATTAACATCACATTTATAATTAATTCTATTTATATATAAATTAGAATATATTTATTATCTTTCTATTTTTATAACATTAATCTAGTTTATTATTTCAATATTTATTAATGAAGATATTATTATAAATTAGATATGTAAATAATATTTTGATTTGTTATATCAAATATCTCATTATTCAAAATTATATTGTATTAATAAATTCTAAAGTTAAAATAAAAGATTAAATGACTTCAATTAGAAGAAGATTGTAATGATAAGAGCAATACCAATAAACATAATTGATGTACTATCACCTAAATTGTTGTTAGGTTTTTCATCATTGTTAGAATTATTATCTGTAATCATTGGACAAATAGTTTCAACATTATTATCACATTTATTACATGTATGTTTAGTTGTTTGATCAACAACTCCATCTTTACTATTTAGACAATCTGAATTACTTTTGAATGTGTATTTTGTAACAACACTTTTTTCAATAACATATTTGAATGTGTCAGCACATGTATCTAATTTAATGTTTGTAGAAATGACTGCATCAGAAACTTTCTTAATAGTACATTGTATATCCGATTCAATAAGAGTAACATAGCATTTTGAACTGGAACAGTTGTAAGAACAGAAGTAAGAGTATCAACTACAGAATCAACACTTTTACATTCAGCATCATTGAAATTTTCAATAACATATTTATTTTCAGAAGTTTTGAATACTTTTTTAGAAGAAGATTCACCAGTCTTAAGACATGTTCCAACAACATATGTCTTATATTCAATATCTGATGTTTTAGTATAAATTGTTTCAGTTGATTCAATTGGATTGAAAGTAAGTAGATATGTCTCACTACCAATAGTAAAATGTTTATCTGAAGTACTAGATAATTTAAGTTGTTTAAAATTATCACATGTATTTTCATTATATTCAAATTGTTGGAACAATGAACCAGCAATTAGATATTTCATATTTGATTCACACGTATCAAAGAAATAAGCTTTACCATTATTCTCTTCACATTTATTTGTATTACATAAAGCACCTGTAGCAATATTACCATTAGTATTAAGAACAGTAACAGAATCTTGTTTTTCATCTTTAGTACATATAATTATTGAACTAGTACCTTTAGTACATGTATAAATTTTACCTGTATCAGGGGATGTCATTTCAACAATTTTTGCACCATCAGTTATTGTATATTGTGTGTTCACAGATTGTACTTTCTTAAATGAAGCTGTTGTACTAGTAGTATATGTCTTGTCTGTGATGTCAACTTTATTTTGAATAATACATGTCATTCCATTAAATTTATCAGTAATAATATCCTCAAGCTCACTATATTCATTGTCATTGGTACATTTATGTTGTGCAACACCAAATTGAGTATTGACAAAAATCTTGTTATTAACACAAACGTTAGCTGCAACATATTGTGTATATGTGATTTTATCAGAGTCTTTACTCTCTTCAACAGGGATGGTAATAACAATATTTGACGGTTTTTTAGTTGGCACAACAGTAATATCTGATACTTCATTTCCAGTACAATCATTATTGTTATAATACTTAATATGGTAAGTAATAGTAACAGGTTCTTCTCCTTTAATACTTTTTTTCCAATTATTTCTGAAATTCTTTCTATATGTAGATTCACTCTTACCATCGGTAGATCCACTCTTACCATCTGTTGATCCACTCTTAGCCTCACTTCCTCCATTCTTAGTCTCATCTTCTCCATTCTTTGGTTCAATTCCTCCATCAGTACTCGGTTTAACAGATTGGGTATAAACTTTCATATATTTATTACCATATTTAATACATTTAGCTGAGCTTTGGTCATTAGCAATATTTGAAACTTCTAAGAAATTTTGACACTTGGAAGCTTCAGTAACTTCATTATCCATGCAAAGAATTGTATGTGTATTTGATGTACTCTCTGAAAATACAAATGAAATAAGCAATAAGAAACAAATCATTGAATGAGAAATTAAGTTATCACAACGGTTTAAATAGCATTACCAAACACACTCTACATTTTCACAAATTGACTTTCTTTGTAAGTAGAGTGAGGTTGTGTGTCAAGTCATAAGTTTGTTTGATTTAATAAATAACTGAATTATGATGTTAATAGTAAAAAGATTTGTTAAAAAAAACTATATTATTTATAGTAAATTACTATAATTATATTATAATTACTATTTTTATCATATTTTTTGTTTTGATAATTAGACTTATAATATTTGTTATTCATTTTGTTTTGGTTATTGTTTTTTAAGTTAGTATAAGAAGAATTAAACTCTATATCACAGGATTATCATGAAAACCATACAAAACAATTTCACAGAGAGAAACAAATTTAAAAGACGTAACTATGGACATAACCATTATAACCAATATCAATAAAATAATACTATAACCACTTTATTAACAATTATCATCACTTTATTAACAATAGAAACAATTACTTTATGCTAACTACCATAACTCAGTTAGACGTTTAATTATTATCAGTATTAGAAGAAAAGTGAATAAAGAAAATAAGAATATTGAAATGCACAGAATAAAGTAGTTAGATAAATAAAAAATAAAAGAAATACAGAATAACACAATGATGAAATAATAAGATAATAATGAATCATTAATTGAAGATAATGAAATAAGAGAATAATTGAATATTAAGAGAAGATAATGAAATAAATAATGAAAATGAATAAAATAAAAACATATAATGAAGAAATAGAGAATAAAACAAGAGAATAAAATGAAATTAACATTAAATAAAAATGAAAATGGTAAAATCACAAGAAGAATATAAAATAAAGAAATATTCAATATATTGAAACATGAAAATAGACTAAAATAAAAGTAACTGCAAAAGTAATAACAATAAATAAATTATTCAACAACAAATTAGTAAGAATAATAAAAGAATAATGTATTGTAATTGCAAGTGAAATAGTTGTAAAAAATATAATGAATAATAACATAAAAGATATAATGAAATAATATAGAGATAAAGGAAGAGAATATAAAAACATAGAAGTACTTCATGAACAAGAATCTGAAGAGATTGAATGAAATAATCCAACTATGTCAAAGAGAATATAATAGAAAGAACAATATATACTAAATCAAATTTAGTAATTTATTTGCATTTATTTTCATCAATGCATTCCATTTATTTTCATCGCATGAATTTGATTAATTTCAAATAACATGAATAGTTTATCATAAATAGATGCGACAACGTGAATAAGATAATAATTAATATAACCAATTCATTGAAATATGATTCATTATTATGTCATTATTATAAATATCAATAAATGAGAAATAAATGATATGTTATAACTCACATAATTCAAGTGGCATTAATATGATTATGAGAAGAACATATAAAATAAGAAACACAACATAAGAAATTCATTGAAATATAAAATATTGAAATAAAGAAGTAATAAAGATTGAAGAATGATGAAAGAAAAAATGGATAAGAAAAGAATGAATAAAATAAGTAGTATAAGCAAAACGGGTACGAAAATTAGCAAAGAAAAAATGCATCTAAATAATTTACAAAAAAGAAAAAAGATGCAAAATAATTTGCATCCATAGAATTTTCCACTTTATTATATTTTGCTCCTAAAATAAAAATAAATAAAAAATAAAAAGTATGATAAATACAGAATATATATATATTTATGTTTATATTTTATGATCATTTATATTTTGTATGAAATATTAATGAAATAGATGATTTGATTATTCATATTTATTTTTATTCTTTTTATTCTTTTATTTATATGTTATTTATCTATCGTATTTTTATATATTTATTTCTCTGTTTATATTATTTATATCATTGTATTATTCTTATTATCTATATATTATTATATTATTATATTATTCTTATTTTATGTTTTTATGTTTATATTATTTAGATTTTCTTATTGTTATTCTTTTGTAT